CCCCTCAGTAGTTCCAGCAAAAGTCCCAGGACCTATTTGCATTATCCTGAGCCAGGCACTGTGACTCTGGTTGGCGAGGTCTCTCAGGCACTGATCCCAGTTTGTGTGGACTGAAAGGGACAGAAAGGAGGGCGAGGCTCTGAAGGGGAGCCAGTGTTTCTGTTCCCAGAAGACAGAATAGATGCTGGGTGAGCAAAAACAACAGATGTCCATCTCAGAATCACAGTGCTAATTCCCACCGGCACCCCCCCTCCCCCCCACCGCCGAACCCACACCACCACCTGCCTCCAGACTGCCTTTGCTTGCAACACCAACCTCTTCTCTCTGTCTCAGAAGCAATGCCTGCCTGTGCTGGGTTCTGCCGCTGCAGTCAAGTCCTGCCTGGGATCACTGTGAGGATGTCCTGTAGGGCAGGAATCCCCAACCCCTGGGCCACAGACCAGTACCCAGTATTGTGGCCTGTAAGGAACTGGGCTGCACAGTGGGAAGTGAGCAGCGGGCAAGCAAGCATTACCGCCTCAGCTCCGCCTCCTGTCAGATCAGCGGCGGCATTAGATTTTCAAAGGAGCGCACACCCTATTGTGAACTGCACATAGCGGGGATCTAGGTTGTGCCTTCCTTTTGAGACTCTAATGCCTGATGATTGAGGTGGAGCAGTTCATCCTGAAACCATTGCCCCCATCCCCATCTCCCATCTGTGGAAATGTCTTCCACAAAACTGGTCCCTGGTGCCACAAAGGTTGGGAACCGCTGCTGTAGGGGTGTGCTTCTGCCCCGTGTAGTAGGTCAGTCTTTTGCAGCTAAGCCTGCTGAAAAGCCAAGGTGCGAGAAGCTGGACAGGGAGGGGTAAACCAGGAGTCTGTTGCTGTGAACAGAAACAGAGCTCTGAAGTTCGAGACCCAGGCTCCTCCCTGTTGTGTGGCCTGGAGCACAGTTACTTGAACTTACCAAACCCATTTCCTTGTCTCTAGTACAGAGTGATTGCAGACTGTTGGACATTGTGTGTAAAGTGCCCACAGCTGTGGGGATGTGACCTAATTCAGTAGCCTGTTCACTTTCCATCTTTGGTTCATGACACAGTTGAAAGCTCTTTTAATAATACTTACTAGGGCCAGGAACGGTGGCTCATGCCTGTAATCCTAGCACTTTGGGCGGCTGAGGTGGGTGGATCAATTTGAGGTCAGGAGTTCGAGAGAAGCCTAACCAACAAGACTAGCCTAACTTTTTTTTTTTTTTTTTTTTTTTTTTGCGCCTGTCAGTCTCGCTGAGGGCCTGGGCTGCTCACAAACACCAAGAAAAGTGCTGCAGAGAGTCACAGCCAAGGCCCCAATCAGCCAGCGACACTCACATTTATTAAGTATAGATTAAATGACACAGATCTTGAAGAAATGTCACTAGAGGGAAATTTTCCTGGTTGCTGACTCCCCGAGTAGAGGGCAATTATGCAGCTGCAGTTGATCATAATGAAACTGTGTCTCTACTAAAAATACAAAAATTAGCCAGGTGTGGTGTCATGCACCTGTAATCCCAGCTACTCAGGTGGCTGAGGTAGGAGAATTGCTTGAACTGGGAGGTGGAGGCTGCGGTGAACCAAGATGGCACCACAGCACTCCAGCCTGGGCAACAGGGCGAGACTCCACCTCAAAAAAAGAAACTTGTTAGCTGGGTACAGCAGCTCACGCCTGTAACCCCAGCACTTTGAGAGGCCGAGGGAGGAGGTACCTTTGAGTCCAGGAGTTGAAGACCAACCTGGGCACCACAGTGATACCTCATCTCTGTTAAAATTAACTGGGTGTGGCAGCACACACCTGTAGTCCCGGCTACTTGGAGGCCTAGCAGGGAGGATCGTTTGAGCTTGGGAGGATGAGGCTGCAGTGAGCCAGGATCACACCATTGCACTCTAGCCCGAGCAACAGAGCTTGTCTCACAAAAAAAGAATACTTGTTTAGTGCTTGGCGATCTGGAGTTTTTTGGTTTTTTAGAGGTGGAGTCTTACTAATGTTGCCCAGGCTAGCCTTGAACTTCTGGATTCAAGGGATTTCGAATAGCTAGTACTATGGGTGTGCACCACTGTGCCAGGCTTTGCAATTAAGGAACTCATTTTAGATCATCTCATTGAACCTCCTCATCCTTTGCTACTAGGCCTCTCCTTCCATAGATAGCAAACTTAGAAAGTCTTGGTCAGCAGCTGGGAGAGGTGGCTCACACCTGCAATCCCAGCACTTTGGGAGGCTGAGGCAGGCAGATCACTTGAGGTCAGGAGTTTGAGACCAGCTTGGCCAACATGTTGAAAACTCATCTCTACTAAAAATACAAACATTAGCTGCGTATGGTGCTGTGTGCCTATAATCCTAGCTGCTTGGGAGGCTGAGGCAGGAAAATCACTTGAACCCAGGAGTTAGAGGTTGCAGTGAGGTGAGATCACCCAGCTGCACTCCAGCTTGAGCGGGAGAGAGATACTCTGCCTGAAAAAAAAAAGTATTGGCCAGGGTGGTTTCTCAGCCCAGCCTGCGTCTGGTCCTGTCCTGCCTGCTGTACCCTGTCTGAATGGCTGGGGTAATGGCATAACTGCAGGAAGTCTGCCCTAAATATGCAGGCTAATGGATTGAGTGTGTTGAGGGGAACTTGAATGGATTGTTGAGCAGGGCCCTGGCACCTGGCCAGAGCACCCTCTGGCAATACAGCCTGAGGCATACCTGACCAAAACCACAGCAGATCTGACAGTGAGGAAAATTCCAGGCATCCAGCTGACTGGGTTGGGAAGAACTTTTTCAAGAGTCCCTGTGTGACGGTACTAGTGGTGATAATGACACTCGTTTCATAGTGAGCAGAATACACGATTCTGCTTCACATTTGTGGTCTCATCAACCCCCCATTAACCCTGTGAGGTGTAATGCCTGTTTTATAGATTAGGAAACTGACTCAGAGAAGCTAAAAGACTTGCCCAGGGTCACCCAGCTGGGAATTGATAGAACTGGAGTTCAAATGAGGTACAATCTGACTCCAGCTCCAGGCAAGCCGTTTTTAAAGCTCACAAGAATCCCTGAAGTAGGCCACACCTCTGCTTTATAGATGGGGATGAATGGCTTCCCATTGGCCGCCCAGGCAGGGGCTAGTCTGGAAGCCAGATGCTGGGCTGCCTTCTGCCTTGGAAACAGCCAGCCTACTGCTGTTGGCCCACGTGTCACCAAACTGCAAAGACTCTGCTTCGTCCCAGAACCGGAGGACCACATGTCCTCCATTCCACCTGCCGCTTTCAGCCTTCCCTGCACAAGTGCCCTCCTGCTGGGCAGGTCCCGGAGATGCCGCCAGCATGGCTGCTGCTGGGCTTCCTGCACTGCCACTCCTGCCCTCCAGCCGCAGACCTGTCCCTGGCACAGCCTGTGGGCTCCTGCACTGCCCCTGACTCCAGGAGCCTCGGGCTGCCCTCTTGCCCTAGGACTGGCGAAAATGAGGCCATGACTAAGGAGGGATTATGTGTAGAGACTTGTTCTCGAATAGATATTTCTTCAGTCAGCAAGTATTTCTGAAGGGCCTACTATACAGCAGACACTAGATCGAGCAGTAACTAGTGACACAGCAGTAAGCCAGACAGACCTCACTCCAGCCCACAGGAAGCTCACTGCACAGGACAGCCAGCAACTGGTGGTGCTGTGAGAGGTGGAAGAGGCTGCAGAAGCGTGGGGGTTCTGGAGGTAGGGTTGGCATGAGATCTGAAGGGCAAGGAGGTGTTGGCCAGGATGAGGCCAGCTTCAGGGATGCCCAGGTGTGCGGCAGGGGCTGCTGGAGGGCCACCAGAAATGGTTCCCACCCTCTGATAGAAGCACGGCTCCTTGATGGCAGCCTCTGGGCCTCCGTGGTACTGTCACCACTCGTTGACAGATGGCCCTGATAAGAAGCATACCAGCCACGCATGCGAGCCTCTCATAGTGCTGTAGCATCTAGAGCTCCAACAGGTTTCTAGAACCCTAGGGTTGGGTGACAGCCCCCAGCCTGCTTGGGTTTGCCAGATAGCCCATTGCTCAGCTCCTTCCTGAGTGAGATGCTGAGGTCTGGCTGGTCAGCGGCACCAACACCCATGGCGGCCCTTTGCCTGTGTGCCGTGACAACCCCAAACCTAGAATTGCTGTGCTTGGCTTCCAGGGACTTTGAACGCCCTTTTCCTCTTCAAGCCTTTTTGGTTTCCCGCTGTCCCCATGTGAAGCCCACACGTCCTCCTCGTCACCGCTGTTCCCTCCCTGCAGGTCCAGTTGCAGCTGCTGACCGCCATCGTGAAACTCTTCCTGAAGAAGCCAACAGAAACACAGGAGCTAGTGCAGCAGGTCCTCAGTTTGGCCACTCAGGTGGGTGCCAGCCTCCTCGCCATGCCCAGCACAGCCCTCACTGAAGCAGGGGAGCTTTTGTCCCAGCGACTAGACCTGGAAGTCAGGCCCACTCCTAAGACTGGCATCTTGAGGATGGGACTGGCTCCCTGCCTTCAGGGAGCTTAGAACACAAAGTTCAGTGAGGTCAAGTCGTGAAGTTGAGACAAATCAGAGGAAGAGGGCCCGTGGAAACCTGAGGGTGTGCAGAGGGGGCAGGAAGGGCAGGCCACAGAGGGCGGTTGGGAGTAGAGACAGGAGGGGCCAGGCTGGAGGAGAGCACCATGGGGAACGAGCCGGGGCCGGCGTATGGCCCTGTGGGTGGTGTAGGGACAGGCTCCTGGGAGCGCTCAGGACTGCTGTCCCCACTGGCCAGCCCCATGCCTCACCTGGATCACGGGGCTGCAGGAAGGTCTCCTCCTCACCCTCACTCGGCTGCTCTGCCGTGAGTTTCATGGGCTTCTCCTCACGCCCACAAGGACTCAGATAACCCGGACCTGCGGGACCGTGGCTACATCTACTGGCGCCTGCTCTCCACGGACCCAGTGGCAGCCAAGGAGGTGGTGCTGGCGGAGAAGCCGCTCATCTCTGAAGAGACAGACCTCATCGAGCCCACGCTGCTGGACGAGCTCATCTGCTACATCGGCACGCTGGCCTCCGTCTACCATAAGCCTCCCAGTGCCTTTGTGGAGGGGGGCCGGGGCGTCGTACACAAGAGCCTGCCACCCCGCACTGCCTCGTGAGTGAGAGTGGCCAGTCATGGGCCTGAGCCTCGCACCTGCTTCCCCGGTTCAGCAGCACAGGCGCGCGGGCCTGGTGTGTTGTCCCCCTGCAAGGTCTGGGTCTGAGGAAAACTGACCACCTTTTAGCAGATGTTTATTGTACACGAGGTATTTGCTAGATGACCTCATTCCATCCTAATGACAGCTCTGAGAGCAAATGTCCCCATTCGTCAGATGGGAACAATAGACAGAGCTTGAGTGACTGGTCCAGGACCCCACAGCCAGCAGAGCTGGGACTTAGACCAGTTCCGTCTCATTCCAGCGCCCTGTGCGTGCCTCCTCCTCTGCTGCTCCCAGGTGGTTGGTGTGAGCTGGCAGCACTGTCCTAGGGCGCTGGCATCCAGTTTTCTCCTTAGCACGGGCTGAGGGGTAGAAGCAGGCGGCCCTCTCCCTTCACTCATCCTCACGGAGGGCCTAAAAGATGGGTCTGCTGTGGGAATGGGGAAGCAGGGGGGCCCTGTGGACAGCCCTCTTGGGGACGGTGACGAGACCCAGTGCCTGTGCTGGGGGAGGCGCCTGGAGGCTGGGGTCTCTTTGACCTTCCTGAGACATCCTCATGCGTCCTCTCTACTGACCTCCTCTCCCTTCTGTGTCCTGGCAGGAATGAGAGCACAGAGAGCCCCGAGACGGCCCCTGCTGGAGCACCTCCCGGGGAGCAGCCAGATGTCATCCCCGCCCAGGGCGACCTGCTGGGTGACCTCCTCAACCTGGACCTCGGCCCCCCGGTGAGCGGCCCGCCCCTGGCCACCTCCTCAGTGCAGATGGGAGCTGTAGACCTTCTTGGCGGTGGCCTTGACAGCCTGGTATGTTGTGGGCCCTCTGGATGATGTTGATAATGGTCTTCAGAGGCGCAGTCACTGAACATGCTTCCAGGCCAGGCATAAGCCAGGTGCCTCCAATACATTCTATTGAGTCCTTACCATCTGCCCTCGGAGGCGATTGTGAGCTCCCTACTTATGATGAGAAGGCCAAGGCTGAGAGAGGCCAGGCAGCCTTCCATCCGAGGTTGCACAGCCTGAGTCACAGACAGGATTCCACTCCCTTGTTAGACCTTGGAGTCCCAGGAGACCCCGGGCAGGGAGCCCATCCTAGCCCTTGCCCTGATCCTGGCATCAAAGTCACCTTTGCATTGTAAGGCGAGGGTGTTCCTGGCTTTGAGGAATCAGACTTGTGTCCATTTACCCTCATGCTGCTCCAGCTGGGAACAGCAGCCCAGCCAGGCCTATTTGAGAGAGCATGGGAGGTCAGGGAGAGACGGGAGGGGTGAGACTGACCTGGGTATCTCCCTGGGGAATCCTCAGGCAACTGGGGGTGGCTAAGCCTCTTCATTTGGCTGTGCTCAGCTCAGGTCCCCACAGGGGCAGCACAGGGGCAGGAGCCTGGCAATCAGTGCCACTAGTGTGAGGCAGGAGGGGCTGTGGTGCAGCATGGGAGGGTGTTGGGTGAAGGCGTGGGGGAGGTGCCTTTCATAGAGACAGGTCTGGGTCTCTCTTAGGCCCCAGCACAGCCTCACGCCACACTCCTCTTGGATGGAGCTACAGTTGACTCATCTCTTCCCTCCTTCCCTTCTCTTGTCTCTCTCTGTCTTCCTTCCTGGCTTTTCTCTCTGCATGTGGCTGTTCTCTTCACCTGCCTGCTTCCGCTTGGAGATGGGGGGATGAGCCTGAAGGGGTACGGTTCAACCCTTGCGTCACCAAGCCTTCGTCCTTGCTCCTCCCGAAAGCACCGGCCCAGCATCCCAAGGGGTGGGTGATGTCAAAGCAGCCCTGCCTGCTGAGCCACTGCCTTGGTCCAGCATCCTGGCAGCCTCTGCCCTGACCAACTGGCATCCAGCTGCCACTGGGCCCCATAGCCATGGATTCTTGCCCAGTCCTCACCACCCATGACACATCGCCTTGTCATCCCTGGGATTGCCAGCCCTCAGTCCCACAAACCTCTCTGATGTCCTGAAGGGAGAGCGCCCATCTGCATAGCATGTCTCCACCCAGCCGTGTGTCTCGGGACCTCCTTTTATCCATGGGCTGAGTGTCAGTTTGGGAGTGTCCCCAGCCCTTTCCCAGAGGTTACTCCTAAGGCTCAAGGCTTGCAGGGCATGGGAGGGCTCAGCCTCTCTTCTCCACCCTCTCTGTCTCATTTCTGTAACTTAGACTTGATGTGGAGGCTGCCCTTCCCCCAGCCCCCAGTGTATTCTAAAGAGCCAGGTGGCTCTACTCATTCCCAGCCCGATGCTGCCTCTGACTCTTTCCCTCCCTTTCCAGATTGGGGGCACCAACTTCGTGGCACCTCCAACAGCATCAGTACCAGCCAATCTTGGAGCACCCATCGGCAGTGGCCTGAGTGACCTCTTTGACCTAACCAGTGGCGTGGGCACCCTGTCAGGATCATATGTGGCCCCCAGAGCAGTAAGTCACCAGCCTTCTTTCTTGGCAAGAGCAGAGAGAAGTTAGACTGGCATGTGGGCTCCTTTAAATGGCCTCGGCCGTGGAATTGGCTCAGGCCAGTGCTGATGAGGGAAGCCGGGGGCCATGGGGACACTGAGAAAGAGGAGCTAAGTCAGGCTTGTCGGGGCTGGGGGCCTAGGAAGGCTTCCCAGAGGAGGGGTTGCAGAAACTCATTAGCTGAACGAAAGTAGTTAGGGGGCTCCAGGCCCAGGGAACAGCCTGTAGCAAGGCCTGGAGGAAAGGGAGGCCCCGGCCTCTGCCAGGGAATCAGCAGCGGCCTGTCAGCTGGGAGCAGCAGTTCTTGGTGCCATCAGACCCAGCACCCCTTAGTCATCATAGACATTTTACATTGTCACCGTTCCTCTCCTTAAATGCAATTGGTGGGCTGTGTAACCTACCTACACATAGCATTCCAAAAATACTCAGATATGCTTTCACTGCATGGAGGAGACATAAAAGGAAGAGAATACAAGTGTCTGTATCAGTTTATAAATGCCCGGGCACGCCCTCCCACCCACCCCAGACGACATGAAGTTGCCAGGTGTTTGCTGTAGGGCAAAGTCACTGTGACTGTGACAGCCATAGCTGTTCGTAGCCTGGACCTCGTGAGTATTTTGGCCAGTGGTGCCGTTCATTTCTGAAGTGGTCGCTGCCTTCCAGTAAGGTTCTAAGTAAGACAAGGAACAGGCTTCCCTTGATTTTCCTGCGAATTGTGTTCCTGGAAGTCTCAGGGTATGTTGAAACCATGCAGAAAATACTGAAGGACGCAGGACACTTGCTGTGGGGTGGTTGTCTCGTGGCAGAAGGTCCAGCATCCCTGACTGCGGCCCACTACACATTGTGCCACCTGAAGATGCCCACAAATGCCTTGTGCCACCTAGGGTGCAACCCTGAGACTCCCGGCTAGACTGGGCATCAGCGAGGGCGGAAGCTGGCAAGGCTAGGCTGTTTGCTCTTGATCCTGGCACAGCTGGAGCCATTGGAAAGTTTTGAGCAGAGGGATGAAGCAGTCCGATTTGCACTTGAGAGCTGGCTGCGTGTGCAGGGAGGGGCGGGGCAGAAGCACCGAGGCGGGGGTTCTGTGGCAGGGAGGAGTGCTGCTGCAGCTGGACAACGAGGGCGTCCTGTGGGTGGAAGCAGACAGACTTCAGAGCTCCTTGGGAGGGAAGAGCCGGGGCCGAGGGAAGGAGAGCTGTCTCGGATGTGAGAACATGCAGGCCAGGCACGGAGGAAAGCTCAGTGTGGGCTATGTCAGTGTCAAGGAAGCTGCCAGAGGCAGCACGTGTCCCCTTTTCCCTACTGAGCTGGCTTTCCCCACCATGTGATAGCCGCACCTGCAGTGGTGGTGACTGGAGCCCCCTGGCAGGGTCTGGGCGCTGAGATGCCCACAGCAGACAGCAGCTCTGACACTAGCAGTCACATACTTCTGTGCAGGGACAGCACAGCATTCCACAGCCACCACGAGCACATCCTCCTCCCGGCAGTCCCTTGTGGCTCTTCCTCCCATTTTGTGATTGAAAAATCCAAGTGCTGCCGGGCGTGGTGGCTCAAGCCTGTAATCCCAGCACTTTGGGAGGCCGAGGCGGGTGGATCACGAAGTCGAGAGATCGAGACCATCCTGGTCAACATGGTGAAACCCCGTCTCTACTAAAAGTGCAAAAAAATTAGCTGGGCATGGTGGCACGTGCCTGTAATCCCAGCTACTCAGGAGGCTGAGGCAGGAGAATTGCCTGAGCCCAGGAGGCGGAGGTTGCGGTGAGCTGAGATTGCGCCATTGCACTCCAGCCTGGGTAACAAGGGCGAAACCCCGTCTCATAAAAAAAAAAAAAAAAAGAAGAAAAGAAGAAAAGAAAAGAAAAATCCAAGTGCTTTTGCCTAAGGTCACATAGCTGGTGACAGTCTGGAAGTGAAAGCAGGTGACACTAAAGCCTCTACTCCAGACCCTCACATGACGGTGACCCCAGAGTGTGAGAACCACCTATGCCCCTGCCTTCATGTGTGGGGTGTCAGGGCCAGCAGGACCAAGGGAGCTTAGGATCATGGTATGATGTACATCATGTGCAACTGACTACCTGGATTGGCAGTGCCAAGGCATGAGGCCAACCTGTACCCACCAGAAGCCTGATATCACAGGCATACAAAGCAGAACTAATGGACAGAAGAACAGCAGTCTCCTGTAACCCTCTGGGTGCCAGCCCTTGCCAGGCACTGTAGAGCTGCCACGAATAGACAACCTGGAGCTGGCCTTTGGCAAGCTGGCACTAGACGTATGTGTTCACTTTTTTTTTGGAGACAGTTTTGCTCTGGTTACCCAGGCTGGAGTGCAATGGCATGATCTCGGCTCATGCAACCTCTGCCTCCCACATTCAAGTGATTCTCCTGCCTCAGCCTCCTGAAGTAGCTAGGATTATAGGCACCCATCACCATGCCCAGCTATTTTGCATTTTTAGTAGAGATGGAGTTTCACCACGTTGGCCTGGTTGGTCTTGAACTCCTCACCTCAGGTGATCCACATGCCTTGGCCTCCCAAAGCCCTGGGATTACAGGTGTGTTTGTCTTAACAGTGTTCTCTCTGCTTTGTCTTTGAAAAGAGTCAGATGAGTGTTATCTGATGAGAGCATGCTGGAAAGGTGATCCTATCACCAAGTCAGGAGTCATCAGGTCAGGATCACTGGAGAGGAGTCCTTATGACATGGGCAGGATTTTCCCCACTGCCCCACTGCCTTGGTCATGGGAGGGTTCTAGGGTGTGGGTGCACTCTCCCTTCAGAATTAGTCAGTAGATACCCACATCTTCCCAACAGCCCTGTGGCCACCTGGAATTGTTCATTCCTCACCCTGCCTGTGGGGTTAAAGCCACTGCCAACCCTGCTGGTCTAAGGGAATGAGGCTGGCTGTGCATCAGAACTTTTGGGCTCCTCAAGCATTTGGGTCAGCTGGAGGTGACAGTTCATTGGTTCATCTAGTAAAGATTGAAGATTGTTACCTCAGTATGTTGCTAGAACCTGTGTTGAGACACCATGAACCCACAGTGACCAAGAGCAGTGAGGTCCTCATCCCCAGCCATGGACGACTGAGAGAGGGTCAGGGGAAAGGAGGCCCGATGGGGGGCCCAGGGAAGTGGTCCATGAGGGAGCCCTGCCCCAGGTCAGGTTCAGCCAGCCTTGAAGTACTCTCGGCTGCCACGGTACAGCTGAGAGCCAAAGCAGGCTGCTTTCTGTCCTCACAGATCTGGCCAGGGGACACAGGGCGCTCAGGGTTAACCAAGCAGGATGGGGGTGGGAAAGCACTTTCAAAGCAGAGAGAAAAACGGGCGTGAGGTCCCAGGGCGGGGGCAAGCCAAGCCTGGAGAGCAAATGGGCACCAGGCTGTGGAGGCCACTGCAAGGTTAGAAGGGGTTTCTTGTGGTGCCGTGATCAGACCTGCATTTCATGAGATGACTTCAGTGGCTGTGGAAGTGGGTGCCACCTGGCAGCTATTCTTACCTGGGGACATCTGGTGGGAGCTCAGATGCTGGTGGTGCCTCTGGAGATGAAGAGAAGTGGAGGCCCTGGAGGCAGATGTAGGAGGTGGCCTCGAAGGGACTTGCGTTGCGTGACTGCTGCAAGGGGGTTAGGGTGGGGTGGGGGCTGGTGCCTGATGTTTCTGCAGTTTCTGGCACTGGGTGTGCTTTCGGAAGCTGTCGGTAGGGTCTGGGCCTTTTGACCCCAAGGGACCTGTGAGCTGTCCATAGGATAATGCTGGTGGATATCCTGCCCAGGCAGGGCTGTAACTCATGCTGTTTGCTCAGCAAACACTCCCCAAACACTGGTTTCACACCAAGCTCTGAGCCAAGGAGGTAAATACAGAAAAACAGCCTTTCTCTCAGCGAGCTATCTGGGTACAGGAGAGACAGATACAAGCTCATTTATCTGCCATAACATCACTGGGATGAGGGAGCCTGGAAGCAGGCTTCCAGGAGGTGGTTCTTGAGCTGAGACTCGAAGGACAAGGGCAGCTAAGGAGCAGAAGGCCTACCAGGCGAGGGATCCTCTTAGGTACTGGCCTTGGTTAGACCAGTTTCTACAGCCGAAGGCCACTCCTGCCTCCTACAAGGGAGGACAGGCGGTGACGGCCAGCAAGGCCCAGGCTGTGGCTGAGCCCCAGGATGCCACTGGGCACTGAGCTCTGTCCTTGGCTCATGGCCTTCCTCAGCCCCACCTCCCAAGAGAACCCTCCATTCTCCTCTGATGACTCATGTCAGCCCTTGAATGCCTAACTGTCTCCCCACCATGAGCTGCTCCCAGAACCAGCCATGTTGTGGCGGTATCCTCGGTGGGACGCGGGATTATTCTCTTCCTGATATGCACCTGATCATCCCCTAGCAGTGAAGGTGGAGGTGCTGGATCTAGGAGGCCCCTGCAGGAGAGAGAAAAAGCACCCTCAGGTGGGCTGTTTGGGCTGGGGGAAGAGGCACCCACCTGCCCCCTCCACACCCTCTTCCCTGCAGGTTCTGGCTCCCACCCATGAAAGCCAACGGGCTGGAGATGTCAGGCACCTTCACCCACGAGGGCCTTGCAGGTCATGACCGACTTTGTCATACAGTCCAACTGTAACAGGTAAGCCCCCTGGGGTCAGCACACCTCTCAAGGGAAGGCCTACGAGAGTCCGCTCAGGAGTCTGTTCTGGCGATTGCAGGCAGGAGGGAGGGCAGTGTCCCTTTTCCAGAGGATGCTCCCCACCAACCCTTGGGCTAAAACTCTCAAGTGCTTTTTAATTTTTTTTGGAGACAGTATCGCTGTGTCACACAGGCTAGAGTGCCATGGTGCAGTCTCGGCTCACTGCAGCCTCCACCTCCTGGGTTCAAGCAATACTCCTAACTCAGCTTCCCCAGGAGCTGGACTACAGGTGCATGCTACTACACCTGGCTAATTTTTTGTGTTTTTAGTAAAGATGGGGTTTCACCATGTTGCCCAGGCTGGTCTCGAATTCCTGAGGTGAGGCAATCCACCCACCTTGGCCTCTCAAAGTGCTGGGATTACAGGCATGACCCACTGCGCCCAGCCAAGCAGTGGGATTTTTACCCCCAAGTGACCTTTTCATATGGACTCTAAAATAACAGGCAGAGTGGGGAAAGGCATCTCTCCTTTCAGTTTTTTTTTCTTGATATGTGGTCTCAGTATTATTGCCCAAGTTGGTCTTCAACCCTTAGGCTCAAGCGGTTCTCCTGCCTCAGCCTCCTGGGTATCTGGGACTACAGGTACATGCCACCACATCTGGCTCCTTATTTTTGACTCCACTGTCCAAAGGAGTGTTTTACAGGATCTCCCTGCTCCAGCTGACAAGCCTACTGCTGGCAAACACCCCACATAGCAGGAGGGGCCGGTCTTGGGGACCACCTCTCAGAAAGCTGGTGGAGAGTGGGCCTGCCTACCTGCTTCCCCAGTGTGGCAGAGGATTAAAGTGTCAGATGGGGCCTCTGGGAGCGGTAGATGTTCCAGGTCCCTCCCTACCAGGTCCCCTACACTGGATGTCAGTGGGAAGGCTGCCTGTCTGGCACCATTATAGACCTGGCCAGTGAGGCTAGGGCTCCCTGGAGACCCCTGGCAGCCCCTCCTGATGATTTTCCTTCCTAAGCCTGCTCATGATGCGCAAACAGAGCCTCTAAGTTGATTAAAGGGGCTGCTTCCCCAGGGGAGCCTGGGAGCCAGTAGGTCCCGACCCTCGGGCAGGCTGAGGCTGAGGGTAGCTCTGCCACTCACCTTCCTGTGACCCTGGAGGCCACAGAAATGCTCCAGGCTCTGAGAGGTGGTCCCACTGGTTACCTCTAGCAAACTTACTGTGTGCTGAATGCCTCCTGGGCACCAGGCCCTGTGACACTGACTTTGGAAGTATTGCCTCACTGGAGCCACCTGATGGCCCAGCAAAGTCACTGCCACCATGCTTTTTTAGTAGGTAATGACACCTGGGCTCCTTGGACAGGTCACACAGCTGGCAGTAGTGGAGCTCCCAGAAAAGCCTGGTGTGCTGAGCCACCAAGTGGTCTCATCAAGAAGCTTGATGGCTTCTTGGGCAGAGCACAGGCTGGGGTCAGACAGCTCAAACTGATTCTCAGTAGTGCCGATCACTCTATGGCATCTGACCCAAGCCTGCTCCTCCCTGAGACGATGTCTGCATCTAGAGATGGGAAGAAGTGTACCTGGCTATTTTTATGAGGCTAGGAATGGGTATAGTATCGAATACACAGCCCGGGTATACTGAGCACTCTGTTAGTGCCCCCATTCCCATGCCCTGGGGGCACGAACTTCCAAGAGCCTGGGGCTGGCATGTCTCATACCCATGAGGATCTTCCTAATTTGCCATTGTACTTGGTTTGCAGAGAAGCAGGGCTTTCCTGACTCTCTCTGTGGCCACTGTGTGACCCTGGCCAGTTTTGGCCAAGAGGGTAAAATCCAGCATCTTGCTTGGGATGGTCAGATCCCTCCTGGGAGTTGGGGATTGGCAGCAGAGACTTGGGTGGTCTAAGAGCTTTCAAGGTAGAAGCAGCTTACCCTCCAGGCCCCTGGCATTAGACAGAGCTCCTCAAGGGCAGGACAGGGCAAGGCCTGCTTACCTGGGCCCACCACTGTCTGGCCCAGAGGAGAGGAACAGAGCTGGGCTTCAGGCCTGCAGCCAGGCTGGGGCAGAGCAGCTAGCCTAGGGTTCTTTCTTCCTGTCCACGTGGCCATCTGGGGAAGGGGGACTGGGAGCCCATCCTTCTGTCCAGGGCCTTGAGTGTGGGAAGGCTGGCAGGGTGAGAGGCTCCCTGCTGACCACAGCCCAGCTCCCGAGCCCGAGGAGCTCACCTGCCCTGCATCAGCACCTGCTCCCCCTGCCATCCCTGCGGGGCTCCTCTCTCCCCAGCTTTAGCCTGGCACCCACCGCCCCCCTCCAGGTCCACGCGCCACTCAGCCCCAACCAGACAGTGGAGATCTCCCTGCTTCTCAGCACTGTGGGCTCGGTCATGAAGATGGAGCCCCTGAACAACCTGCAGGTGCGTTCCGGGCAGGGAGGGCACCCCAGTCCTTACCCATCCACCAGCCAGGCCCCACCGGGGTCAGCAGAGGGCTGCATCTGCGGACCCAAGCTCTTAGCTGCAGATGTGTTGGGGAGGCCCAGGTCAGGGGATGAGGGGTATGTTTACCAGGGAATGGCCTGGGAGAGAATCTGCTCAGCAACGCCCTTCCTGGGGCCTCAGAGGTGGTATCAAGCCCTAGGGACTGACTGGGGACCCCCTTGTGCCTAGGTGGCTGTGAAGAACAACATCGATGTCTTCTACTTCAGCACCTTGTACTCACTACATATTCTCTTTGTGGAGGATGGGAAGATGGGTGAGTCATGAGGGAGCCCCCTTGGGTGCCTGAAATGGGGCTGTGGCTTGGGAACCTGACAAGGTAGTGCCTTTACCAAGACCCAGATGGACTGCCTTGCCCACAGTGAGTCCATGAGTCCCTGCTCCCTGCAGACCCTGGAGTGAGGGGTATACCAGGGACCCCCAGGGCCAGCTCTGGTCTGACAGGTGGGCTGCGCCACATGGAATTCACCTCCCTCCCGGGCTCTCCCACTCGCTCCTCAGCCTTGTCCCACAGGCTGTAGAGAGCCCAGGTCATGCCCCACACCTGGGAAGCCCCTTTGTGCCCTGGCTGGAACCCCCGAGGTGTTATCACAGCACATAGACGGCCTGCACCCTGCCCCTGGCAGCGTGGAGCCCTTGGCCCATGTCATCTCTTGCTTGCCACAGAAGCCCTGCATGGAGGCTGTGACTACCCGGCAGGCGGCTCACTGAGGAGGAAGGCATGTGGGGGCGGGAGGGGAGAGCCGAGGCCCAGAAGCAGGAAGCCAGGGTCATTTGGAAGCAACACTGAGACCTCCTTCACAGAGTGGAGGGTGTGCTCAGGGAAGGAAGAGGGCTGTGCAGCCGCTAGTGCCTGTCGCCGGCTTTCAGGTCACACCATAAAGGCCAGACCCATTTCCTGCTGAGCTGTGGAGGGACCACAGGTTTATGACTGGCCCGCCTCTTACCCCTACCCCGCTCACCCCACAGACCGGCAGATGTTCCTGGCCACATGGAAGGATATTCTCAATGAGAATGAGGCCCAGTTCCAGATCAGAGACTGTCCTCTCAATGCAGGTGAGGACTCCGAGCCCCGGCCTCAGCCCCTCGCCTGTGCCCAGGCACCCCGCACTGACTGTGGGGCCTCCCATGGCCATGTGACCCCACAGAGGCTGCGAGCAGCAAGCTGCAGAGCAGCAACATCTTCACCGTCGCCAAGAGGAACGTGGAGGGCCAGGACATGCTCTACCAGTCCCTGAAGCTGACCAACGGCATCTGGGTGCTGGCGGAGCTGCGGATCCAGCCGGGCAACCCCAGCTGCACGGTGAGAGCCCCAGCACCCGCTGCCCTGTGGCCTTGGAGCCTCCTCTCCCTTCTAGGCCAGGAGCTGGCTCTGGTGGAGGACGTGGTCCAAGCGTCCCTTCAAGCCTGGCTTGAACCAGAATCAGTTCTGTCCCTGGGAAGGACCTTTCTAGAAAGCTTCCAACTCAACCCCGTCAAGTTACCCAGATAAGACACCAGTTGGGTATGAGAACAGAGAGTTGGACTAGAATGCTGTGTAAAATTGGGCCCTGGGAGGTGGTGCAGTTGGCTGGGCACCCCCTGACTGGGAAGTGGCATTGCTGGGCACAGGCCCTGACCCTGCCCTGTGAGTGCCTGCATGTCCGGCTGGGAGGACATTGGTTCCCAGGAGCCCGAGCTTCCCAGGCCTTGAGGAAGACCCGTCAGGGGTGGCTTCCCTGGGGCACGAAGTTATCCTGGAGGCCTGCGCTGCCTTTCCAGGGCCCTGGACAGCCCCATGCTCTGCTTCTCCCCTGCACCCCTGAGTCTCTGGCAGGCGTGGTCCTCCAGACACTGCCCCTCCCGGGCCCTGCTGGCAGCACTGGTTGATGGGGGGCTGCAGCGTGGCTTCGGTGGTGGTAACTTCCGTCTCCGTGTTTAGTTGCTGCATGTCACCTTGCCCGCTGGTGCCGGTGATGTAGGACTTAGAGGTTAGCACCTAGTGCCTGTCGCCGGCTTTCAGGTGGCACCATAAAGGCCAGACCATTTCCTGCTGAGCTGCGGAGGGACCACAGGTTTATGACAGGCCCACCTCTCACCCACACCCCGCTCACCCCACAGACCGGCAGATGTTCCTGGCCACATGGAAGGATATTCCCAATGAGAATGAGGCCCAGTTCCAGATCAGAGACTGTCCTCTCAATGCAGGTGAGGACTCCGAGCCCCGGCCCCAGCCCCTCACCTGTGCCCAGGCCCCGCGCACTGACTGTGGGGCCTCCCACGGCCATGTGACCCCCACAGAGGCTGCGAGCAGCAAGCTGCAGAGCAGCAACATCTTCACCGTCGCCAAGAGGAACGTGGAGGGCCAGGACATGCTCTACCAGTCCCTGAAGCTGACCAACGGCATCTGGGTGCTGGCGGAGCTGCGGATCCAGCCGGGCAACCCCAGCTGCACGGTGAGAGCCCCAGCACCCGCTGCCCTGTGGCCTTGGAGCCTCCTCTCCCTTCCAGGCCAGGGAGCTGGCTCTGGTGGAGGACGTGGTCCAAGCGTCCCTTCAAGCCTGGCTTGAACCAGAATCAGTTCTGTCCCTGGGAAGGACCTTTCTAGAAAGCTTCCAACTCAACCCCGTCAAGTTACCCAGATAAGACACCAGTTGGGTATGAGAACAGTGAGTTGGACTAGAATGCTGTGTAAAATTGGGCCCTGGGAGGTGGTGCAGTTGGCGGGGCACCCCCTGACTGGGAAGTGGCATTGCTGGGCACAGGCCCTGACCCTGCCCTGTGAGTGCCTGCATGTCCGGCTGGGAGGACATTGGTTCCCAGGAGCCCGAGCTTCCCAGGCCTTAAGGCAGACCCGTCGGGTGGCTTCCCTGGGGCACGAAGTTATCCTGGAGGCCTGCGCTGCCTTTCCAGGGCCCTGGACAGCCCCATGCTCTGCTTCTCCCCTGCACCCCTGAGTCTCTGGCAGGCGTGGTCCTCCAGACACTGCCCCTCCTGGGCCCTGCTGGCAGCGCTGGTTGGTGGGGGGCTGCCGTGTGGCTTCGGTGGTGGTAACTTCCGTCTCCGTGTTTGGTTGCTGCATGTCACCTTCCCCGCTGGTGCCCGTGGTACAGGACTTAGAGGTTAGCAGATCACTTTCTCTTTCCTCATCTGCCCTCCCCAGCCTCGGCTCCTGTCCTGGCCCCCATGCACCCCATGTCTCCTGTCTGCACCCCATCTCACCTGGCAGGCTCCATCCAGGTGGCCCTGATTGAGGTGCTGACACCCCACTTCCACACATTCACAGTGTGCACAGAGCCCTTCCTAGGAGGCCCAGAGGAGCCCTGTGGGCTGCTGCTGACCTGCGGAACTCCACAGTTCCCACTTCCCGACTGCACCCTGCAGAACCAGTGCTTTAGAGTGGATGGGTGGGGACTCCTCCCTCCTCTGCCTGCGATCTCACACTCAGTCCGCAGAGTGGGCAAAGTCTCTACCATGCCTGCTTCCTACGCAGGAAACCAGGAACGAGCCCAGCACCCCTCCAGGCTCCCCCCCAGCGCTCTGCACCCCTTGGGATTTTCTGTCAGGCTTCAGTCCTGAGGACCCCAGACCCTCAGGGA